TCCATGGCCGGATTTGAGGAATTTGGCACAGGGTATAAAACTCACTGAAGCATATGGCCAGTACTGGGCCTATGAAATCAACCCCTGGTCCTGCAATCTTGGCAATTATATGTTTTAAACGTTCAGAAGTTTTAAAGATTTCCAAAGGGTTTTCTGGGCGTTTCTAAAAAGATAGTGAGTATTTAACTTTTAAAAATCTTAAAATCAGTAGACACCTCCATTAAATTAAAATTCTTTGAGCAAGAGAGGATGCACTTGGTACCAATCAACAATGTCCATGAAGTTCTTTACACTTTTCATGAGAGCTAAGAGAGACACAGCACACAGGAGAATGAAGAGAGAAGCTGGAATTCTCAGAGTGAGAAAAGAAGTGCCAATACTTCATGCTGAAATCAAAAGCCCAGGTCAAAGTCTTCCTCTTTAAGTGATTAGCAAGGACAGGTAAAGATAATGAACTGAATGTAGCTTATGCTCTAACTTTAGAACCTGGAGTTCCTTTCCTCCAAAGTGAAAATGAAGGAGACTTCTGAAGATTTGTGAGAAACCAGAAAAACCCAGAGTTGACAAGAGAGGAGATGAGGACAGTGTCAGCAACCAAAAATCATGAAGGAGAGCCATTGTGTACCTGTACACATCGGACTGCTAAGAAACTCAAGCACAGTCATGACAGGACATGATTTTAGGGTACTTCATGAGGGGAAGGTAATGCCAGAATAGCAACATAGCTTTCCTAATCCTAAGGCTGTACACAGGGTTCTTCTTAATATAATGATTTTGAGACTTATTTAGAAAGGATCGCTTTAAAAATGCTCAGAGCTACTAAAGAGAGGAAAAATCCTAAGACCAATGTTATTGGGCCAAGTATTTTTCCAGAATACATTGAAATTTTCTGTGAATGAGAATATAAACAGAGGCATCGATAATCAAGAATTTATAATAAAAATATATCTTCCTTTGTAATTTGGAGCTAGATAACAATACATTATATACTTTTCTTCTTTTTGTTGTATACATTGGCGACATACAAAATGATACACATATGCTTAGTGAGACAATTACCAGTCAAACTTCCACGGCCATGTCCTCACCCAGTTAAACCACTTCCTTTTATATTTTTGTGGGAGCAAAACAACCCGAACTTCATTTAGATGCTAGGCTTGTTCTATTGCAGACTCTCAAAATCAGTTACTTGAACTTCTCCTGGTGGATAAATACGATTTAAAGAATTCCTTGTACCTGTTCATAGCTTTTTTTCTTTTCCTCTCGTCTTTCTTTCTTTTTCTTTTCCTGCTTGTGTGTTTGTGTATGTGTGTTGGAGAGGCACTGAGCTCCACTTTTCACACATTTCCAGTACACAGTGCATAGTGCAGTGTACTATTATATGCAGACTACAGTCGTTATGCTCTGTATTTGATCTAAAGACTTCCTGAGCCTAAATAAGTGAAACTTTGAGTCCTTAGAGCAACAACTCTCCCCTTTCCCCACCTTCCCATCCCTGGTAAAGATTATTCAATTATTCTGTTTCTAGGTGTTACACTTCTGTAGATTTCATATGTAAGTGAGAGCATTGCAGTAATTGTGTCTGGATTGCTTCACTTTGCCTGTCTGCCAGTTGTCATAAATGGCAGAATCTCCTTTCTTGTGAAAGATGATTAAGATTTCTCTGTGTGTATCTACATGTGCACACCACAATTATATTTTCCCAAAATATGTGACCCTTAGTGTAATATTTCTATCCTCCATGAACATACCCCGGCTGATAGCACCCCTTAATAATGGTTGAAGGAAAGAAAAATTATTGACAACCCTCAGTCCATTAGCATGATAACAAATTTTTAAAAATCAGAATTGTTTCTGTTGTGTTTCTTTCAGATAGAGAAAAAAAGATGTGTTATAAGGAATAGAAATCTGTAACCATCTCATTATATTATTAACCAAAATGCAAGGATCAATTTGAGTGAATAGACATTATGACAGGACCTCATTATGATGAGACTTAAGTAGCAATGACAAACAAAAAATCATCTAGGGACTCCTAGTCAAAACACCAAAACAAACAAACAAGAAAACCAAATAACTTCTGTTTCCTTTATCCAGTCTAAGAAAAATATCACTACACATTTATTTGTCATTGTGGCAATCAACAAAATTACAGTGAATAAATGTGTAACGCTGAACTTTCTGTGGCAGAGATCCTGCCACCTGGCTCACCTCTCTGGCCCAGGCCTGGGACAGAGCACGTTCCTCCTGAGTTGCGATGAATCACTGTCAAATCAGAGACACAAAGACCTAAAACAACAGGCTTACTCCAATTCATGAGCACGAGTATGTTAGAAACAACCTAAATTTTTAAGGTTTTGAGGCTTTTTGCATCCTTGGAACTATGTCTCAGACTTCTTCCTTGATTGACTAATTATATACGGCCCACCTGCAGGGTTCTGGATTCTGCTACTGTGTTTGTCCCAAAGCTACATTTCCTGTGGGTTACTCCCAGCCATTGACTGAATATGGCGGAGAAAGTGGCAGGTCAACTCACGTCTGGAGAACGAGGCATTTATCTCACAGTCAGCTTGGCTTGAGGCTGCCTGAACTGCCTGAAGAACCGCTTCGCTGCATCTGGCTGTTGTGGAGGCCTCAAGCCGTCCTCCCTCTTTCTGGGCAAACAGTCAGCTTTGCACCACGGACTGAATGTCTTGGAGACTTCCTCAGCTTCCTCTTTGTTTTCTTTCACAGATATTTTCCTAATAAATTTCTTGTATACTGGATTCCACCTCAGCATTTACTTTTCAGAGAGGAATAACATAATCGTGTTAGAAAATCAAATGATTTTAATAGTATTTGATAGACTAGGGTGTGCTAGATTCTAGAAACACAAAGATAAGAAATATAATTAATATTCCAATTAAAAGGTTCGCTATGTTGGGGGACAGAGTAATTTGATTCAATAAAACTGCAATCTTTCATGTTGTACAGATGCAACCCAAATGGAAACTGCTGTGTCTAGAGAAGATGCAACGATGTATCTTGTTTTTGGTTTTCATACTGGGAATTGAACTCAGGACCTTGCACTTGCCAGGCAGGAGCTTATGGCCCTGAGCTATATCCCCAACCCATGCATCTTGTTGAAGGATTTAGCGGTTTAATATTAATTGTTGTAATGTGTTATGAAGATAGCCATGAAAAGCTCACATCCTACATAGGCAGCAAATCAACTCGTCCTTAGGGTCACATGGAGGCAGACAGTCCTCATTAATGGTTTCACTGAAGTAGGAGGTTTGCAAATCTCTGCCATCCCTGACACTAATTCACAAACTGTAATGCAAAGACAAGCAACCTGGTACTCTCACTAAAACTTAGTAGGTTTGGGACAAAGTCAAACCATACTTTTTCACTAACACAAAAATGCAATAGCATGATATTCTCCCATTAAAGTGTACAATTCTGTGTGCATGTGTGTGTGTGTGTGTGTGTGTCACGTATTCACATTCCCACAACTCTCCCTGTTACCTAATGTTGAGACATATTCACAAGGCAAGTCATATTTTTAATATCAAGCTGCTAAAGGTCTGAAAGGGTTACCTGTAACTGACAAAACAACAAGAGCTCAGTCTTAAGGACACTGCTGTGAGACCGAATGAAGTACTGACTAAAGTGCCCAATGGATCTGGCTTCATGGTGGGACTAAAATTTCAGCCCTGCTTGAGAATCTTTTCTTCTGAGCCCCACTGAAAGTTAGTTGAATCGAGAAGAGGAAGTTACATGAGAAGGCTGGTGACGTGTGTTCAGAGGAGATAGATTGCATAGAGAAGAAAGGAAAATAGTCTCCTGGATTTTATTGTGTGTGTAGTTCCAGAGATATTATGATATAAAAGAATCTCAACCCTTAAAGAACCTACCAGAAGTTTTGTACAATTGTGGAGGAAAGGGAACGGGTGCTCGGCTCTGATAAAGAAGTTGACTCAGGGCAAACCTTGGGCATCCAAGTTTCGTGTAGGAGCTTGGGATCTGATGTGAATATCATAGAGAGCTGTCACACAAGGCAAAGCCACAAAAAGACATGACTAAATGCCACTGTAGAATGCTCACAAGGCTGGAAAATGAATTTAAAATGTTTAGGTCCATTGGAAGCAGAACAATCAGAAAGATGTTTCATCAATTGAAAGGTAATCTTCAAAATTCCAAATAGTTCATATGCACATAGGTTAAAAGGTAAGATATGAAGATGCATGAACTTTGTGAGGATTCAGATAAAAGATACGGGAAAAATAGAGACTGTAAAAGAAACATAACATGCTAGTTTGGGTAATTTAAGAGAATAATGAATACACTACCTGAGAGGACCAAGAAAAGGGAAAGCTTTCCGCATATATGTTTGATTTTAATTTGTTTATGAGCTTTAAAGGAGTTGAAGTATAAGGAAAGAGATAGCTCGGAAATGCTGATCCCCAAATCTTCTCTAAGGACTTGGACTCATGGGTGGAAGGAGTTGAGATTACAGGAGACAATGACACATAGGAGAAAAACAGCACAAGGCAGCACTAATATTGCAAAAGGGAAACAGAAAAAATGTGTTTGAAGGAGATAAAAAATGAAACATTAGTGGAGTAAGAAAAAAAATCATGGCTGGGAGTGGTTGTAAATGCCTGTAATCCCAGCACTCTGGAAGCTGAGGCAGGAGGATCAATGTGCATTCAAGACCAGCCTGGGCTACAAAGTGAGCTCAAGTTCAGCCTGAACTGCATAGCGAGACCCTGTCTCAAAAAAAAAAAAAAAAAAAAAAAAAAGAAGAAAAAAAATCACGAACTTAGCTGTCAAATTAACTTAGCAAAAGAAAAGTGGAGAGGCACTCCTTGATGTCAAATGCTGCATAAAAATTTAGCGAGGGGAAGACTGAAAGTTTTTGGTGGATATTGTCTTGAGGCAATCATTGTGGAAAGAAAAAAAAAATCAGTTCATGAGTCAGGGAAGAAGTGAAATGCTAATATTTTTGCCTATTCCAGCGTGGTGAATTCTGTGCACCCCTAGAAGCTCTATTTGGATCGAGAAGACAGTTGGGTGTAGTTGTGCTGGTTATTGTTGTATGCTTAATCGTCATGGGACTTTAGCCCTCAGACAAACAGGTATAGTGTTGCTTTATTTTCTTTTATTTCTTTTGTTGTTTTGTGTTGGATGCTCTTAAATAAATGTGAAGAAAAGTTGAACAAAATCTCTGAATGATTTATACTGCAAATCTGATAATTTGAGCAACTTTGTTGAAGATAATGATGTGTATATAACAACCACTGTTAATTCCTAACATTCGGTTTTGAAACCCTCTATCATTTTTGTTGTTTTTGCTTTGTTTTGAATTGTCTAGTTGTTGGTATTTTTTTATCATGTTTAAAATAAAAAAAAAAATGGGCGCTGGGGATTTAGCTCAGCGGCAAAGCGCCTGCCTGGCAAGCGCAAGGTCGTGAGTTCAGTTCCCGGCACCGGAGAAAAACCAGAAAAATAAATAAATAAATAAAAATTTTAAAAAATGCCTTCTTTATTTAGGGATCAGTTTTACTTAAGTGAGGCTATTTTTCAAATTCTGCAAAATGAGTGTGACCAGTTTCAGGCATTTGTGATGATCGTACAAAGATACATACTGTGTAAGTTACTTTAAAATATAAAACTTAACATAGCATTGTAAATTATTTTCCTAGTGCCTATTACCAAAATCTAAAAAATAATTTCTAGACAATGGAAATATTTTTAAGGACCAAAGGAAAGGCCCTAGTCAAGTCTGAGTAAAACTGATAATTTACTGCAATCTATCTTACTATTTTTATTTTTTATTTTAAAGAGAATAAAAGGTAAACAATGAAACAGATTAGTAGGACAGTTGCAATAGTTTATACACGGCATATTGCGTCTTCCGAGAGGGGGAAAGGGAAAGTAAAAAATGGAAAAAGAAAAAAATATATGTATAACAAGATAGTTAAGATAATTTTACAGCTAGATTCTCTTAGTTCCTTGAAAAGAATGTTTGTGCTAATATTGTTTAGATGAGATTTCATGCCTATGTCTTGTGCTCTGCTGAACTATTTTACTATGTTTAATCTCCACACTGAAGGACAAGTTAGCTACAGTGACTCTCCAAGGTCAGACAGCTAGGTTCTGCCAGAGCCCAAACAAGGATTCAGTTTTCTCTCATTGCTAGTATCCATTTCCATCAGCAGCACTTCCCAACAATATTGAATTTGAGTGTTAAATAGCACAGAAAACATAACATAATATAATTGTGAATAGTTTCATCATAATTTCAAAATTATAATTATAACGAATTTTTCTGAGAGTTTCCCTCTGGAAAGCACTGAGCTTCTGGAAAATGAGAAGAAATTCGTAGGTTAGAGTGGAGGGATTTATCATTGTAGTTAATGAGACCAGAATGATTCCAGCCTTGAAATAAATAAAGACTTTACCTGAGTTTCCAACATCCTTGTTATAATGTTACTAAAAATGAAATTTCAATGTGTTTCAAATTAATGGAGAGTTTGTATTTGTCTACTCTAAAAAGTCATAAAATATGCCCAGAAAGGTAGCAAGACATGCTACCATACTCATGGAAAAAAACAATAAAACATATATCTTAAAATAGTAACTTTTTCTGAAAAAGTAGACCCGTATAAGTTCGGTTTTGTTTTTAGAACAAAACACAATGGAAATTTGATGAGATGACGCACAAAAGCTCTGAATGAGTCACATTGCTTTTTCCCCAGGCCTAAATTCGTATTGAAAGTAGCCATTCAACTTGAGAATTGCGCTTATGTTCTTATTTTCTAAAAAGAACCCAGACACTACATTTATACTGTCCTTCTCTAAAGCACACACACACACACACACACACACATGTGCGCACACACACACACACACACACACACAGAGTACAACTAGAAACCAATATTCCTGGTTAATTGAGGTCATAGCTTAAAGGGAGAATATTTAAAAATAAAATACCCCTCAGATATATTAATTAACACAAAACTATAATTCTGTTTATTTGTTAATCTTTTGAAGTAAGGCCAAGCCATTTTTAAGAGATTGCTGATAAGAATCACATCTCTCTCTCTTTCTCTGCTTGCAGAAATGTACATAGTTTTCATCTTCTAAGCAATATTTCTTATTTTTAGGGTTTTATAAAAAGTGTTCTACTTAGGTCTTTGTAAAGCAACTGGAGTGCAGAATTCTTTTTATATTTTTACAAGTTTCTCAAAGTTCTAAGGTTGTCTTATTTGAATTTTAAAAACCCTCATGCTTATAGGTTTTTCAAACACTCATACGTTATAGGGACCCAATTCTATACAACGGCATAGTTATTTAAACAAATTACATACATTTAGAAATACTATTTTGTATAATCACAATAACAAGTTTGCAGACATAAATAGATTTTCAGACAAATAGCTACCTCTATGCAAAAGTTTTATGATGGACAGCAGAAGTGTATAAAATTGTGAAGCCTGAGGACAGTATTCATGCTGGGCGCTAAATGCACTTCCTGATACAAATAAGACAATTTTAGAAATTGAATTTTTGCTCTCTATGTAATGCATGTCCATTAAATTAAAATTCCTTAAATGCTCTATTTCCATCTTCTATCTTTACCATTTAAGACGCTCTTAAGACTATCATTAGTCACCAAAATAAAGTGATTTGCCCAAACTAGTGGGCACGGTGACCCTCCTCCCAACACCCTTTATCATAGGCTGGATGGGATATGAGTAGTACATATAACGGAGAGAGTCTCAGACAAAGATGTGATTTAAGGGTTCATTTCAACAATGTAAATTATTGCTAAATACTTTTCATTAGTTATATTTAACAACTATACAATGAATGTAGTCACTATATTTAAGGATTAGAAGCAAATTTATCTAAAATTATGCTAAAGATTAAAAGAAAATAAACTTAAGAATCATGGTCATAATTAGAAAATAGCACTAAGATTTGCAAGAATCTAATGAGAATATATATGTAAAGTACTGAGTATTACCATCTCATACACAATTTCTATTTATAAATACTAGTTCCCTTGCATTTGTCATGAACAATTCCAAAAGTCATAGTTCACACACATCAGTGTCTACTCCATTGATCACATCCACGCTGCCTTGGGTTCTATGCTCAGTGTTTCCAATAAGTGAGATTCCTGCTTACGACAAGGTAGACTCTGACTTGCTCACACAGTTCCACCCTGCATAGTTTCTTGTCTTCAAACACTTGGGTCAAGGCCGGGGATAGAGCTCAGCGGCCCAGTGCTTGCCTGGCAAATACAAAGTCTTGAGATCAATTCCTGGCACCAAAAAAATCCATTTCTAAATACTTGGGCAAACATTGTTTCCTCAGAAAAAAAATAGAGATCTGTTCAAGAGACATTAAAATAAAATAGATTATTTTCAAAATTTTGTAAACAATAGCAGCAAACAAATATATAGGGCACTGTTATTATTTGAATTGACATGCTGAGCAAAATCAAGCTCCTTGTAGAGGAATAAAAAGATGCTAGGAAATATAGTACAGGTTATATTATATTTTAAAAGGCAGGTCAAAGGATTTTGCAGAAAAAAATTATGAATATTTGCTCTTCTTGACAATAATTTCATGTGGGACTTGGGATTGAATTTGATGTTTTGTTAAAGGACAATACTGAGGGCAAAGGTGATAGAAAATATGGTATAAAGATGATATCTTACAAAAACCAAGATATACTTTACAACAAAAAGTTTATGAAGGGAAAAGCCCAACAAAATTCAGGCTAAGGTTTGCTGCTAAATAAAATAACAAAATATGAGTTGGTAGTTTCTTTTGTTATTTTCTAGAATTGAAAAATAGTTTTTATGATTTTCTTCCACTTAGGAAATCTTCACTGAAAACCTGCTTTGTGACAGACACTTCACCATCTTATTTCTTAATTGCTGCTACAGCTACTACTGTACATTACTCACAGAAATTCACACTAACACAACCTTGGTTACTTTTGGCTCCTGGACAGACGAGTCTTAATATTTGGCAAGTGTCAGAAGCCCACATCTGCAGCAGTCTCAGAATTGGTTCCGTGCATGTGCATGGTAGTCCAGGGTGGAGGAAGGTGTGATCACCTTTAGAAAACCTCGTGACAGTTTAAAAATGACTGCTGAAGGCCTGGTGTAGTGGCGCATGCCTGTAATCCCAGCCCTTGGGAGGCTGAGGCAGGAGGATCATTGCAAGGTCAAGACAAGCCTGGGCTACAAAGTGAGCTCAAGGCCAGCCTGAACTGCATAGTAAGACCCTGTCTCAGAAAGGCAAAAAAAAAAAAAGACTGCTGGAAATTGGTTTTTAATAAGAAAATTGCATTGAAAAATATTATCTGACAATTAGACCTTGTAGAATCTGATTCACTGATACATGGAAGAGAATGTTAAGCACACTTATAATCTTGAAGGACATTATTAAAAATTATAGATTAAGAAAAGGAGGGGGACCCTCCTCTAACTTCTGGGTGTATCTCTGTAAGAGACCAGATGTTTATATTGACATCAGAACCATTGCACACTCCTGGGTGGAGGGTAAACGTACTCCACCCCTGCAGTGCTTATTCCTAGATGTTTTTTGGGGGGAGTTGCTGGTTGTCATTTTTATTTTAAATATAGAAGAATGAAATTATGTTAACAAACACACATTCATTTACAAAATAACACAAAAATAATACAAGCAATACAGAATTTCAGACAAGGTGATAGGAAATTAACAGGTTATTGTGTTACATACTGATATCAAATTGGTTACTCAGATAAACAAATAGAGGCATGTGAGATTGATCAAACAATTAAACATTAGCTATTCCTTTCAATAAAGCAATGAAATCAATAGTACAAATATGTTAGCTATGCTGTGTACACATATATCCATATTTTTCCCTTCTTTCTTGCTTGTCTCTTTTCCCTCATCCTGGTTCTCTCCTTTTGAGCAGTTTCCTTTCCTTTCACTACATCTATTTTAACTCCTAGATTTTATACACTCATTCAGATTATTACACTAGTGAGACAATACAGTGTTTACACATGTGGGTCTTATTTATTTCACTTATGAGTATGGTCTCTCATTCTGTCCATTTACC